AGAATTACATATTTCAATTAACAATAAATAATATATGAATATATGAAAGGCGAGTTATTAAAGTATGAAATTGAAATTTTGATTCTAAATATAAGAAAAATATTCTTCAGGTTTGTTTTTATATATATCTGTCTATATATTGAACTGTTGCAAATCCGGAGACAGAAAATGTATATGTTTCTTCGTTTTATGGTCTTCCAACCAAAGGTTATTTGATCTTGAGATAGAATATATTGGTATTAGAGATAAATAAATATGAGATAGAGTATTAATGGTAATATATATATAATTAATTAAGTTCATTTAAATTTTATTGATAATATTAAATTCAAGAATTAATAATCGGAGGATGCCGGCGGATCGAGTGTCGCTTCAAAGATTTTTTTAATTTCTTAATTTTATTTTATTTCTGTACTTTTTTATTTTTGTTATTGTAAAGTTTATATGTATACATATATTGAATAGTTTAGACATTAGTTTTATACTCGTCAAAGAGTTTATTTTCTTTGATCTCTTATTATACGACGAATATGTTAATTGACATTCTGCATTCAAGAATGTAATTATGTAAAATATTTTTTTTTAGTACGTAAATACAAAAAACACGAATATCATGATATTTTTTTTTGGATCTGTTAAAAGCAATAGTTTACTATATATATATATTTTTTTGTTTGTTTGTTTGTTTCATAATATTTTTTTTTATATAATCAAATTTACATTATAAGAAAATAATCAGTTTAATAGTTAATTTGTTATGTTAATAACAAGTAATTAAAACTAAATTTTTAATAATTTCATATTTTTAAGTATTACTCAAGAAAAATTTCTTTCTTTTTTTTTTCATTTTGCGAGATAAATTATTTATTGCATTGATCGTTATTTTCGTAGAAATAAAAGATTTAGGTTTCTATTTAATTCTTTTTCTTTCTTTATTCCTCTTCATATAAAAAATTTCAATAAGTTTTTATGATAATTATTATTTTTCTGATGAATTATTATTTCATTTATTTTATATTTTTCAAAATAAATTGTATTTTTTTGCGTGGGACAAGTTAAGTCACTTATATTGTAGCTTCATTTTCAAAGGGAAAAGAATTAATAATCAAATGAAGAGTCAATCTTCTTCATTCTCTATTTTTATTTTTATTTGATTTTTTTGTCTTTTTTTTTTTTATGAATGTTAATTCGTAAGAAAATAATTACATATAACTTCTCAGACTTTAGTCGCAAAATCATTGCAACATCTTTCACTTTAGATGCCCCACCATCGATGATTTTAAGTGTAAATATGTCGTAAGTTCTGAAGCACTGTTTAGTATTCGTCGACATTCAAGGAAGTTAACATGTGACTAAATTAACAGTTTATAAATTTTGTGGTAATGTGGTAAATAATTTAATATTGTTATAATTTGTATTTTTTTTTTCTTTTCATTATTTTCTTCTTTTCTTTTGATATTTTTATCGTTTTAATACAACTTAACAGTTTCTAAAGCTAATCGAAACGAATCTGACAGTTTTTAATTGAAAATTTATATATTTAAAAATAAGAATTGTTTCGAATAAAGTTTTATACGTTTCTTTTGTTTCTGTAAAAAAAATATTCTATAACAATTTTGTATTTGAAAATTATAATAATAGAAGAAATTTAAAAATGAATGTGTTATCAACGATATTTCCACTCGTTTTATTTGGTATTACTTTTGATTACTGGGTAAGTAAACAAATTATTACTGAAACCAAATTACTATTAGTATTTTAATACTATTATATTATTTTTATTATTATTATTATTATATTACTATTATTATTATTATTATTATTGTTATTATTATTATTA